CTCCATTAACCTATTAGTAGAAATGAAAACAGACTTGACTAATCAATGCTTCGAAGCCATAAGAATCAAGGATACTTCATTGTATGGAGGGAATTTCGTGAGATGTAACTTTAGTGGATCGCAATTTGATAATGTAGACATAAGTGGAGTTAACTTGAATGGATGTTTACTCTTGAATTGCAAATGGAAGGGTATAAAAATCCATGAATTGAATAAATTTGATGGTCATTCATCTAGGGTTAACTCAGTTTGTTTCTCACCTGATGGTACTACTCTTGCATCAGGTGGTGATGATAACTCTATACGTTTATGGGATCTAAAAACAGGTTAATAAAAAGCAAAATTGAATGGTCATACTTGGATAGTCAACTCAGTCTGTTTCTCACCTGATGGTACTACCCTTGCATCAGGTAGTGATGATAGCTCTATACGTTTATGGGATCTTAAAACAGGATAAGAAAAAATCAAATTGGATTGTTATTCAGGTACAGTCTGCTCAGTCTGTTTCTCACCTGATGGTACTACACTTGCATCAGGTAGTGATGATAACTCTATTCGTTTATGGGATCTTAAAACAAGAAAATAAAAAACCAAATGGGATGATCATTCATCTTATGTCATGTCAGTCTGTTTTTCACCTGATGGTACTACCCTTGCATCAGGTAGTGATGACAACTCTATACGTTTATGGGATCTTAAAACAGGTTAATAAAAAACCAAATTGAATGGTCATTCAGGTACAATCTGTTCAGTTTGTTTCTCTCCTGATGGTACTACACTTGCATCAGGTAGCAGTGATTACTCTATACGTTTATGGGATCTGAAAACAGTAGAATAAAAAACCAAATTAGATGGTCATTACAATTGGGTCATGTCAGTCTGTTTCTCTCCTGATTGTACTACCCTTGCATCAGGTAGCAGCGATTACTCTATACGTTTATGGGCTCTGAAAACAGGATAATAAAAAACAAAATTTAATGGTCATTCAGGTACAGTCTGTTCAGTCTGTTTCTCTCCTAATGGCTCTACCCTTGCATCAGGTAGTGATGATAAGTCTATACGTTTATGGGATCTTAAAACAGGATAATAAAAAGCCAAATTGAATGGTCATTCATCTTCAGTCTGCTCGGTTTGTTACTCTGCAGATGGTAGTACCCTTGCATCAGGAAGTAGGGATAACTCTATACGTTTATGGGATCTTAAAGCAAGATAATAAAAAATCAAATTGGATGGTCATTCATCCTCAGTCTGGTCAGTCTGTTTCTCTTCTGATGGTACTACCCTTGCATCAGGTAGTTAGGATTCGTCGATACGTTTATGGGATCTTAAAACAGGATAATAAAAAGCTAAATTAGATGATCCTAAATATCCAATCATGTCAGTCTGTTTCTCACCTGATGGTACTACCCTTGCATCAGGTAGTTAGGATAACTCTATACGTTTATGGGATCTTAAAACAGGATAAGAGAAGGCAAAATTGGATGGTCATTCATCTTCAGTCTGCTCAGTCTGTTTCTCTCCTGATGGTACTACCCTTGCATCAGGTAGTAGGGATAACTCTATACGTTTATGGGATATTAAAACAGGAACATTAATTTAACCAGTAAATTAGCATAATAAAGAGCTCCTAGCCCAAGTTCAGACTCCTTTATCAAAAAATAATCTTTTTCAAAGAAACCCACACATCACAATCCTCACTATATCTCAATCAGCTAAATTTTAGGCTTAAAATGCTCTGGTACTGAAAGGAGAATTTATCAATCACCAAGGATACGATTTTAAATAGTTAATGAAGTCAAGTGGTAGTATTTTATTGGAAAACCAAATAGAAGAATTTAAAAGGATAAAATGATTATCTTTATTATTAGCATAAAAATTTACACTATTATTGTTATATATTTATGTTATTGATATTAAATATTTAAAAAAAAAGAAACAAAAATTGTAGATTAACCTAACTTATCCTTAAATTAAGAAAATTAGAGTTATCAAACTAAGAGCCAAATTTAGACTAAAGACTAATAGCTTCGAGAAAGAAAATAGGTATTCGAAGGTAAAATGAGGGCTATGTATAAGAGGTTCTTTCTTATAACTAGGTAGGACTTGTTTAAGTATCATATAAAAAACGAGAAGTATTAAGATGAAAATAAGTTGATAATCAAGAAAGAAAAAAAAAGGTAATATGTTTTTATCAAAGAAGATTAAAACAACCAAAGAAAAAAAAAGCTAAGGAGATATAGAAATAAAAAGCCTAAGCTCAATTATTAGAATTACGAGGAAAGGCATTTTGATTTGTAAAGTTATGATTATGCTATTTAAAAACAATCCTGAAAATGCTGATGTCTATAATATAGGCATAATTAATTATTTACTACAATATAACAATGACTTCAAATAAATTAAATCGATTGGACAACTAGTTAAATAAATTTGAAGAAGTCAGGCTCACAACTAATCAATATTGATCTATCAAGTTGAAGGCCAAAAACAGAACACACTCTCCTACCCCCCAATACCCTATTAAAAGAGAAGATAGATTCTGTATGGGGTATCCCAAAGCAGACCAACAGAAATAAATCCCTCACATGGCGTGAGAAATAGGGCAGTAATATGACAGTCTCTAAAACTTTTACCTCAAAATCAGATATTTTGATAATAATTTTGATATTTTTCCAATCCCAATTTAAATCATATAAAGTTCAGTTATTATTTGAATTTTCATTAACTTTTTCTTTCTTACCATAAATTGGACAGGTCAAGTTTTCCTCCAATATTTTTCTCTGATAAAGAATTATTCTTTGACTATGATTACCTTTACAGAAAAGAGAAGTGTTCCCAATATTATTTTTCCCTTACTTTTGATTAAAAAAAATGATTAAATGAAAGATCTAAGAAAAACTTAAAAATATCACAATCTTAAAATTGTTTAAGAGTTTTGGTGCTTATTTTGAGTTATTTTGATAAGGGAACTTGAGCAATTTAATACCTTTTATTTGTTTTATTTTAATGAAAGATTATATCCAACTATCTGATAAGTAGATACATTAAAACTAGTTTTAAAAAGGGATAATCTAGTAAGTCACAATATGTGCTTTTCCCCTCCCCATTCCTGTCAATCTGCCTTTTACTACAGCCTAACATAGCAGCTCCTTATAAGTAATTATTTACATTTTCAAATCGATACATTAGTTTTTGTTTGCTTAATAAAAATACTAGAATTTTCAATTCCAGACATTCATTTGTCTTCTGGCGTTGTAAAGAATGCTGGGAAGACGATATTTAAGCGCCAAATTAATAAGAAAAAACAAGGATACAATTTTCTGCTTAAAATTACATTATTTATGTTTAGGAATAATTAAATAAGGAGAAGAAAATGATAATTAAGTAGGCTGTAATCATCATTATTCTTTTATTTGGCATAAATCTGATGAAAAAAGCAGGAGGTAAAAAAAGAAGAAAAAATTTAATAATCATTAATAAAACATGAATTGGAATTATAGGATTACAGGAAATTTGAATTAGAATATGATTTTATTAAATCAATTCAATAATATTTATAACCAATAGAATTGAATTAAATATTTTTAAAATTCTATAAAAATGTTTAGAAATTTAAATTAAATATTGCTAAACTTGTGAGGATATATTTTATGAACTTAATTTTTAAAGGAAAATCAATACTATAATTGAGATTTCTTTTATTAATTATTTTTTCATAAATAAAAAAGGACATTTTCGAAGTTAAAAACGATGAGTAATTATGATATATATATTCAAAGAGATTAATAAACTTAGCAATTTAATTTCAGCTAATCATTATTATGTATGTTAGAGATCACAACATAATTATTAATTTATATTGTTTGTGTTTGAAAACTGTCTTATTAGATTTTAAGTTGCTCTTTTGTATTGATGATATCTCTAATGTTAATAAAGTTAATAATACTTTTAATTTTTAGCTTACATCAATCTCCTCAGTTTATTATTTATTAAATATTAAATCATCTGTTGATTTAATTTATTTCATCAATTTCTACTCACTTCTTTTTTTTTAATAAGATGTAAAAGGCTTATTCATTTTATTAATATGTGAACGCATCTACCATTTCTGTTGATTATTGATCGACTCACTTGGCTAATTTAATAAATCTTCACTCATCAAATGACTAGATTTAAAGATCTTTGTAGGTAACTTAGTTTAAAAATACTATAATTCATAAGGAACATTCTTTAAACGTTAAGCTCTTTTACTTTCTTACATTGGAGCATAGAATTAAATTTTTTTTCCTGACGAAATTGTGATAATCGTCACGGTTGGTGTATTTATCAACTCATCAGACCTAGCAGATCTGGTTGTTTTAGGATAACACCCTTAATAATACTTGTTAGCCATGCTATGCACTGGAGTATTCATTCTAAAATCCAAATCTAATCTCACGCAGCTTTCAACTTTAGGCAAGATATAAAGTTTTCGAATTAATTTTTCTTATTACATTTAAAATAATGAAAAAAATATCATACAACTAATCTTCGTTTTTAATTTATGTCTTGTTTATGTTGAAAGATATAAAATTAAGAATAACATATTAAAAATAAAGAAACTTGGCTTTATATTACAACAGCCATCTTTTTAAACTTCAATTTATTGAAATTGTTTAAATTTAGTAATATACAAGATCTTTTTATATCAAAAAAAAATTAACTTATTTGATAAGCACTGCTATGATTGAGGTTTATTTATAAAAAAAATTATTCCATAGATTACTCCTAATCACTGAATCCTAAATGCACTTTAATTCATAGATGGACTCATGTATTGATTTACTCACATTTGTTCTATTATGAAAACTAAGGTAATTTAATACTGCTTGTTCGAGGTTAGAGTCTAAAATGTATATTTGACTAATGTGCAGAAGTTCGAATTGAACTCCTTCTTTCTTATCTAAATTAAAAATTAACTAAACAAAATAACATCTTTTCTTTACCCGATTTTTCATATTTCTTTAAAAAATCAAAATTATGTTTTCTTTAGTGAGGTTTATAAATTTCCCTTGAATCATCATGGAATTGAGACATTATAGGTTTTATTCCATCATAAGTTAGCTTTCTTAAGCTTTTCATTTAGTTGATTCTTTAATTCAGGGTAAAAGCAGCATCATTGGACATATTGATGAAATAAATTTTATAATTATTAATATTATTCTAATTAATAAAGAAATTTAATAAATTTTTTAATTTTGATTAGATCATTCGTCAATATAAGTTAAATTTATTNTTGCTAAACTTGTGAGGATATATTTTATGAACTTAATTTTTAAAGGAAAATCAATACTATAATTGAGATTTCTTTTATTAATTATTTTTTCATAAATAAAAAAGGACATTTTCGAAGTTAAAAACGATGAGTAATTATGATATATATATTCAAAGAGATTAATAAACTTAGCAATTTAATTTCAGCTAATCATTATTATGTATGTTAGAGATCACAACATAATTATTAATTTATATTGTTTGTGTTTGAAAACTGTCTTATTAGATTTTAAGTTGCTCTTTTGTATTGATGATATCTCTAATGTTAATAAAGTTAATAATACTTTTAATTTTTAGCTTACATCAATCTCCTCAGTTTATTATTTATTAAATATTAAATCATCTGTTGATTTAATTTATTTCATCAATTTCTACTCACTTCTTTTTTTTTAATAAGATGTAAAAGGCTTATTCATTTTATTAATATGTGAACGCATCTACCATTTCTGTTGATTATTGATCGACTCACTTGGCTAATTTAATAAATCTTCACTCATCAAATGACTAGATTTAAAGATCTTTGTAGGTAACTTAGTTTAAAAATACTATAATTCATAAGGAACATTCTTTAAACGTTAAGCTCTTTTACTTTCTTACATTGGAGCATAGAATTAAATTTTTTTTCCTGACGAAATTGTGATAATCGTCACGGTTGGTGTATTTATCAACTCATCAGACCTAGCAGATCTGGTTGTTTTAGGATAACACCCTTAATAATACTTGTTAGCCATGCTATGCACTGGAGTATTCATTCTAAAATCCAAATCTAATCTCACGCAGCTTTCAACTTTAGGCAAGATATAAAGTTTTCGAATTAATTTTTCTTATTACATTTAAAATAATGAAAAAAATATCATACAACTAATCTTCGTTTTTAATTTATGTCTTGTTTATGTTGAAAGATATAAAATTAAGAATAACATATTAAAAATAAAGAAACTTGGCTTTATATTACAACAGCCATCTTTTTAAACTTCAATTTATTGAAATTGTTTAAATTTAGTAATATACAAGATCTTTTTATATCAAAAAAAAATTAACTTATTTGATAAGCACTGCTATGATTGAGGTTTATTTATAAAAAAAATTATTCCATAGATTACTCCTAATCACTGAATCCTAAATGCACTTTAATTCATAGATGGACTCATGTATTGATTTACTCACATTTGTTCTATTATGAAAACTAAGGTAATTTAATACTGCTTGTTCGAGGTTAGAGTCTAAAATGTATATTTGACTAATGTGCAGAAGTTCGAATTGAACTCCTTCTTTCTTATCTAAATTAAAAATTAACTAAACAAAATAACATCTTTTCTTTACCCGATTTTTCATATTTCTTTAAAAAATCAAAATTATGTTTTCTTTAGTGAGGTTTATAAATTTCCCTTGAATCATCATGGAATTGAGACATTATAGGTTTTATTCCATCATAAGTTAGCTTTCTTAAGCTTTTCATTTAGTTGATTCTTTAATTCAGGGTAAAAGCAGCATCATTGGACATATTGATGAAATAAATTTTATAATTATTAATATTATTCTAATTAATAAAGAAATTTAATAAATTTTTTAATTTTGATTAGATCATTCGTCAATATAAGTTAAATTTATTATTTCTATATATTTATATCATGTGTGAATTTTTGAAAATAATTATTAATTACTTGATTTAAAATAGGAATTACAGCAGACAAGCCTTGCTCTAAATACATATTTTTTAAATTCTTTACTTTTACAAACGCATTTCATCTATTCTTTCCATCAAACCTGCCATAATTGCTACAATTTCAATTAACTCCTTCCATTTTTTAACTTTAAAAATTAATGTTTTAAATAATCTAGATAATTAGTAAAATTATGTTATTATCTTATACTCATTCATATAAATTAAATTAATAGATCTTTATGGCAACGACATCAATCAATAGAAACTAAAACAAAAATTGTTTATTATTTTTTTTACTAATCTTAACAAGCTATTAGATTTTAATAGTACCTCTACTCTTTGCTTTAACTTCTTTCAATTTGAACTGATTTTTCTAATTATTTACTTTTTAATAAGTTCGTTAACCAAGAGTTATTATTAATAATAATATTTACTTCATCTACTAGAAGTAAAGACTTTGGTTTATTTACACCAATCACATCAGCAATAACTCTGCCATAATGAATTCCAATTTTTAAACAACAGCTTAAACATCTTTATATTTCATAGCTTTAACACTCTAAATACATTTACACGTATTTAAGATTCTCTCCGTTGGATTAAGATTATCAGATAATCTTTTAATCCACCAGAGCCGTATATGTTTAACCAACTGATTCAATCTTTTTTATTTATTAGCTCAAAAAAACTAATCAAATAAATTCTTTATTCATTCTTTTTAGTATGAAATTAGCACATCAATTTCAGCTTTTCTTTTGTTGTGATAAGTCATTTCGAACGAAGATAACCGCAATAATGTTTATTCCAGCAGCTTAGTAATTGTTTTTTTTAAACATATAATAGTAAAGAATCAAATTAATTATTAGAAATATAATTGATATCTACATTAATGATGCACTTTTTGCAATAAGCTTTAAAGAAATATCTTAAATTTTTGAATTTATTTTACAGCAAAGAATTTGAAAATGAATATTTTTGTGGTGAAATTGACTTATTTCATTTGAATAATTATATGAAAATTTGATGAAAATTTTTACGGCTTAAAAATACAAAAATTGTTGATTACCAAAATCTNAAGTTAAATTTATTATTTCTATATATTTATATCATGTGTGAATTTTTGAAAATAATTATTAATTACTTGATTTAAAATAGGAATTACAGCAGACAAGCCTTGCTCTAAATACATATTTTTTAAATTCTTTACTTTTACAAACGCATTTCATCTATTCTTTCCATCAAACCTGCCATAATTGCTACAATTTCAATTAACTCCTTCCATTTTTTAACTTTAAAAATTAATGTTTTAAATAATCTAGATAATTAGTAAAATTATGTTATTATCTTATACTCATTCATATAAATTAAATTAATAGATCTTTATGGCAACGACATCAATCAATAGAAACTAAAACAAAAATTGTTTATTATTTTTTTTACTAATCTTAACAAGCTATTAGATTTTAATAGTACCTCTACTCTTTGCTTTAACTTCTTTCAATTTGAACTGATTTTTCTAATTATTTACTTTTTAATAAGTTCGTTAACCAAGAGTTATTATTAATAATAATATTTACTTCATCTACTAGAAGTAAAGACTTTGGTTTATTTACACCAATCACATCAGCAATAACTCTGCCATAATGAATTCCAATTTTTAAACAACAGCTTAAACATCTTTATATTTCATAGCTTTAACACTCTAAATACATTTACACGTATTTAAGATTCTCTCCGTTGGATTAAGATTATCAGATAATCTTTTAATCCACCAGAGCCGTATATGTTTAACCAACTGATTCAATCTTTTTTATTTATTAGCTCAAAAAAACTAATCAAATAAATTCTTTATTCATTCTTTTTAGATATGAAATTAGCACATCAATTTCAGCTTTTCTTTTGTTGTGATAAGTCATTTCGAACGAAGATAACCGCAATAATGTTTATTCCAGCAGCTTAGTAATTGTTTTTTTTAAACATATAATAGTAAAGAATCAAATTAATTATTAGAAATATAATTGATATCTACATTAATGATGCACTTTTTGCAATAAGCTTTAAAGAAATATCTTAAATTTTTGAATTTATTTTACAGCAAAGAATTTGAAAATGAATATTTTTGTGGTGAAATTGACTTATTTCATTTGAATAATTATATGAAAATTTGATGAAAATTTTTACGGCTTAAAAATACAAAAATTGTTGATTACCAAAATCTTGTATTAATCTCTCAGTGATTTATTAAATCGCAAAATTTATGATGAAATCCTACAATTTCAACACAATATACATTACAAGCTTGTCATATACAGCATCTTATTTGTATAACATACAACCTAAATAAACTAATTCAAATAGATTAAAATATTTCATTTACAATTATTGTAGTAAGTTGAAAGCGTTTCATTCTAACTTTCTAATTCTTTTTACAGATCCTACTTTTCATTATTAAATATTCTTTTTTTTTCCAATAGAATCATTATTTATCTATATAATTAATACATGTTAAATCAATAATTTAATAAATATTTTAGACAATTTCTTCTCGATCTTTATAGTGAGCTCGTTTGAAATGTTATTGATAAACATATTTACTAATTCTTCTTCAGACATTTTTAACAGAATAATAAATAAATAATTAAAATCACTTTAATATTTAATCAAATAAATTTCAAACAATAAACTAAAAAACAATTACTAAGTATTGATTTTTAGTATGAAAATGATACAGAATCATCTAAATTTTGAATTTTAATTTAAGTTATTATTAATAATCAATAAACGAATTCTATTACAAAAGATGCATCGATATTTATGTTAGAAGAATTTATGAGATTTTATATCATAGGAAAAAATTTTTTAAATTTTAATGTAAGATCGCATTTTTAAAATGAATCGGTTGAGCCTCTTAGATTTTATTTTAATTTATAAAATACGATACTAATATTACTTTTTTATTTATATACTGTGAAAGTTGTATTCTTGATATTAAACTCTCTTAATCAAGTATTAGAAAATAGTAGGTCAATAAAATTAGTATAAATATATTTATGATTACTATATTGCAAGAAATTTTATTTTTTATTAATGTTTACATCCTAAACATCTATTAACTTAAATAGTGATTCACAAATATCTGATAATTCTATATAAACAATGAAAACAATTAGAACAGAGATGTAATGTTTGATTTAGAAAAGAAAGTTGGAAAATATTGGAAATTATTCTAAAGGTTTTTTATATTAAAATTCTTTTCAATAAGAAGAATTTAAATAAGATTGGAATAAAAATATTGAATTATTTCAAGCAAAATCTAATCCGAAAATAATTAGTGGCTCTGATAAAAATTTGAAAGAAAAAGTAACAAAACTTATGGCAAATACAATTTATTCAAAGTAATTAGAAGAAAAATAAAAAGAATTCATCAAATTAATTACTATTTGTTTCTGTTTGTTAATCACACTGGTAATAATCTTTCATAAAAAAGAAGCAGAACAAATTCACAGTTTATTTTGATTTACATATTTTTTTGATTTAATATATGAGATTGATAAAATATTTAAAAATTTAATATAATTGTTGTTTTAAAAAAGTCAACAATTCATAATTATTAAAATAATGGTGTATTATCAATATTTAGATAAATTTATCATCAATTTTACATTTTCTCTCTTTCATTTTCTAAAATCTTTTCAACAATTATTCTTGCTAAATCAAACTCACCTAAATTAGATCCTAGATGTGTGACATAATTATTTTCATTATCCATCAAGTAAGTTATAATTGTGTGATCAATAGTATATTAATCTGTTGTTTACTTTGTTTTTTCATCTTCTTATTAAAATTTAATTTTGGAAGCATAGATTTTAAAATTTCTCATAGCTTCCTTTAGTTCAGGATCATCATTAGTTCTTCCCCTTAATCCTATGATACTTTTATCAAAATGTGATAAGAATCTCTCAACTCTTTCTCCAGAATCTCTATCAGGATCAACTGAAACAAATATAGTTTTTAAATTAAAAAGCTAATTTAATAAATTTACTAAATACTTTTCCTTCTGGTAATTATCGAATTCTTTGTAATGCCTTTGAGAGTTTTAAAAGAGAAGCAGGACAAATATCTGGACAATTGCAAAATCCGAAATATATCATATAATAAGACCCTCTCAAATCTTAATCTGTCATTACTCTTCCATCTGTAGTTAACAATTTCCAAGGTCCACCTCTTGAAATGAATTACTATATTACATCTATGCCTTTCCTTTATGTTTAACAGTCATTTCTACAGGTTTTGATTTGTTTTAATATCCCATTTGAGTTATTTACATAAATACATATCCCAACATTAATCCTATAGCTCCAAAAGAATAAAGTAAAACATTCGATCTCTTAGATATGTCTTCTTCTTCTTCTGGCTCTTAACCTTTTAAAGTTTCTTTAACTTCATCCTTAGTTAATGGAGGCTTCTATTCTAAATCGCTTAAAGGATTTTCTTTTCGCTAATCTCCAAAATAATAAACTGGCCTTTAGCTCAAAAATCTTGAGTTTAATCTTAAATAAGGGCTACAAAGCATTAAAGATCTTCTTAATAACATATGTAAAGCAAATGATAATAATAATATTTTAGAAAAATTGTAATAAAATACCTCAAATAATATTTAATAATTGTAGAAAAAGTGATCAGAGTTATGATTATTAAGACATCATAAAAATACATTATTTTTCTTTTATTTAATATAGAAGAGTTAATATGATGCATTCATGAATAATTTAAAACTTCTTTTTCATTAAATTAATTAATTAGTACATCTAATTTAATATCAATAATTATGGATAAGATAAAATTTAGGAGAATAAACAGAACATTCAAAAACAGGCTTACTTAACGACAAAAAATTAGAATAATCAAAAAATTTATAAATCTGTAAATGTACAAGATGGAAAAATGAAAAGAATAAGATAGATTACTTTCAACTATAGTTATAATCTATCTTTTATCTAGGTTTTTTCATAAAAAAAGATTTCAAACATGAATATAAAATGTTAAAAAATAACAGACTGCTAAAGTTCTAAAGAAAACTGTGTTTAGAAGTTTATTTCTTCTCATTTCAACTAATATAAATTATTTATTGAAAGTATGGTCTAACTTAGAGAAATTAATATAAATAGCAGTTTAATATTTGATTAATAGCAATACTTATTTACAATAAAATTAACTAGTATTTAAAATTTTGATTGCAATACTTTATGAACAGTTAAATGATAAAATTAAGAAATAATTGATTATGAACTTTTTATTAGAGTTTAATTTCTTTATATAATTGTACAATTCATATAGAAAAACTCTAATTTATTATCAGGAATTATTCTCTTAACATACAATTACTTATGATAAAAGGCTTTCTATTTAATCTAATCTTTCAGTTATATTTTTTCCATCAATAACTGATTCTGGAAACCAACTAGTATCATCTTATTTTATTTTTTCATAAATCCAATATTCTAATCCTGTATATTCAGTCCATTCCTTTAACCACAAACATTTAACATAAAATACATAATTCCAAATTAGGTGTTTATCTTATATGTGCTATTCAAACGATTAATTTTTATTTTCTAACTCACCTCTTTAGGCTGCGCAGATAAAACACCTATTTTTGATATCTTCTTCAATTTTTTGTCTTTAATCTCTTAACTCTGCAAAAGTATCGATCATTATACCTTAGACAATATTTGTAAAAAGCAATCCAAAAAAGACAGTAAAAAGCATATCAAAGAAGAATTTTAATGGATCCCAATTAATCATACTATTTCCTATTACTCCTGAAGTTATAAGGGTTATCATACATGTAATTAGAGAATCACATGTTTCAGTCTATTCCTCTTAATAAATATCATCAAAATAAACACTAAAACTTATAACTGAAAAGGCAAATACAAAAAGAACTCCCAAGAAGGCGACAACTAATAATTGCTTAGCATTATAACTAATAGCTTAGAACACATTTTTTAAAATAGTGACCCTGCTAAATATTTCAACAAGATGAATAACAAATACTGTGCTATTTATAAATGCTCCAAAAAAGGATAATAATACTAAAAGAAACAATAATAAACAAGTATCCTCTTGAATTATTACTAATAGAAGACTCAGTTTATCATTTCCTTTGCTATTTTTTTTCAAGTAAATGGGAATTCTTTGAAAGCTAACCATTATAAATAGAATAATTTATGAAAAAAGTTAACTTACAGATAGCATCTTTATTATTAATGAGTTATATAATGTCGAGGTTAATAAATAAGTATTACCTTTTACAACAACTGTATAGAAAAAGATCTATTTTTGTTATATAAAAAAATACCATTGATAAATTTATCAGCAAAGCAAGGATGGAGGATAAATTTTACATTACATTCAAATTATTCTAAGTTATGGGAATTCTATAATGATTTAATTTATAATTATGTTCTAATTCATAAAATAAAATATTTGTTGCACTGAGTAGACCCAATAATTTATCTCTTTAAGTTTCCCTATTTATTTAAAATAGTAAATCTTATTTTGATTATTCAGATAATAAATTAAAAAGTTGATGATAAGGAAAAAACACCGTCATCGATTTACCTTCATATACTATTTCTATATGGTGAATCTATTTTATAAAATATTTGATACTAAAACAATTAAATTATCATAAATATCTTTTATTGTAGGATTTACACTTAATTGTTCATGAAATTATTAGATCCATCTACTCTACTGATAAGATGCCATTTTTTGTTCAATGATACAAACATTTAATATTCGAAGCATGTCTGAATTAAATATCTTATCTTATTATAATAAATAACTATAATTAATTCTTAATGAATTAATACATTTCTAGATCATTTATATTTTCAATATTAAGTTGCTCAAAACTCAAACTTAAAAAGCTAATTAGAAATGAAGCTTCTAATTTATTCTAGATATCTTTATAAATCTTTTCTTCATTCCCTTCTAATACTAATAATACAGTCTGAAGAATTTTATTAAACAATTCTTACAATTCTTACAAATCATCTTCAGTATCAAACAATCTTTATAGCTGATTAGATTTATTAGTAAAAAAATGGGCCATGTTACTGACATCTTCGAAAAAAGTTGTGTGGCATAGAGTTATTTAGTTTTCAATACATGGTAATTGAATTACTTCATTAATGAAATCAAGGATAGAAGCTGGTATGATAATGATAGCTCTAGATAATATTTTTAAATATGCTCTTAATTATACACTTGTAAATTCAATGAAATTAATAGAATTTATTCTTGTAATATTTTACTAAAATTAATTAAAGTATCAATATACCTCATCAGTTTATCTTCTAAAAAATTCTTTCATTTCACTATTATTATTTTCACAAAGTAATTGCATCACTCTAAAGAATCTACATAATACATCCAAGCACTGCTTTTTAAAATTAGTTTCCTTATAATCATCAGGATCAACTACATTCACTCTTTGCATTACTTTAGTATGAGTATTATAGAAGTCGAAATTGTCAACAGTTTAAATAAAATCACAACCTTTAGTATTGTGATGGGTAACCATAGAGAAGTTATTATTAATAACTTTAGTTAGTTTAGTTATAATAATTTTAATATTTATTAATATTTAATTTTGTGAATCTTATTTTAATTTTTCTAGAATAGCGTTTTAGGCTTAAGTGTTACCTCCTAACAAAAATGCAATTGAAAATAAGAGACATTCATTTAACAAAGTTAAATTAATTTCTAAAAAGCTTTCTGATAAAATTAATAAGATCAAATCTTAAGCTCCACATTTTGTTAGTAGATTTTAGGCATGATTTATTTCTTATTTATAATCAATCCAAAATTCACTTGTCCAAAGGTCAACCTCAACCATTTTTTATTTATTACTAAGATTCTTTTCTGTAATTAATCTGCTTAACAATCTTAAAAAGAAAATTCTTATATCATCAGAAAATTGCTATTCTCTCGTGTTAGCACAAATTGAAATAATATTTTATATAAAATCTTACAGTGTTGTGACTTCATATTTAGTCTAATAGGCATCTTAAGATTGTTTACCAATTTAAGATAATTTATTGCAAACTTCATAAAATTCTTCATCCAAGAACTATGAAAATTATGGAATAAAGCTCCAATTATTCATAATTCGTCTCAATTTATGATTGATTAAATCATTCATGTCTGATTTAGATGATTTATTTTTATTTTTCGATTAGGTTTTCCAAAATTCTAAAGTATTTTGTAATTTAGTTTCTTTCATAAATTATTAATCTAAGCTAAATACTTAGTGAACTAAATATTATTTAACAGATTAATCATTACTATTTTATAACAATTATTTATATATTTCTCGGTTTCTTTAAATTTAATACAGTTTATTTATTTAAGTTTTTGTTAGATCCTATTGATTTTGCAATTTAAGGTGCGAAAAAATTAGCATTTCTTCTACCATGCTTAAATATAAACTTTCTCTCATTAAAAGCACTTTAGTGTCAAACCCTGAAATAATACTTTAAAACACATCTAATAACAATTAACATAAATGCCCCAAATTTTCCTTAACATAGATTTTCTCTATTATTAATAGTTTTTAACAAATTTCAAATAATTAGAAATGTAATTTATATATTTAATTCTATTAATTGAAAAGTATTAATTCTTCTAAATATTCAAGGAACGATTCATTTAAAAACAGACTATTTAATGATATTAAAATTTCTTCCAAATTTAAATAAATATAACTCATTAAATATTTATATCTAATAGGGGCTTTAATAATTGTCATTGCCATATATGAATGTTGGGGCAATATTAAATAGTCTATAATTTTTTATAAATCATCAATTATAGTAAGCAAATCGATTTTGATAATAAGATCAAAGTTATCGCTTGCTTTAATATAATATAAACGATTGATATAAGCTCGAAGATGTCTTTTTAAAGGCCAGCAATCCTAAGCCTAATATAATAGGACTACTAAGTCATGAAATTTATGAATTTTCAAACATTTTTTTATATTAATTTGGTGTTTTTCTTCAACTAGTTAGCTGAACACAGCAAAAAAACTGTAAAGATATGTTAATTCTGGCGAAATATAGAGTTCATGAAATCCATAGCCAATATTTTCATAACCCTTTTGATAATCTTCTATCCACTTTTTAAATAATTCTTCTGTTATAACGGTTTCTGAGTCTGTTTATCCATCTTAAGATGAAGTGATATCACTAAAACTATTCTCTTCTGGGGATATCGGGGTTTATTCACTATAAATATTGAAAAGCAAAATTATTTTGTTGAACTATTTTTCTTGCAATTTTTAAAGAATCTATGTTTAATTAGATGTAATGTAATTTGAATTAGATAATAATAGAGCTTTTATGAAATCTAATGTTTTTGATTTAAAATAATTATTGATAGATAGATCATTGCATACAGGTACAACAGACTGCAATATAAATGTCATTTCCCTCTCACTATAAAGTAATGCTTTATTATCTGCATATAAAGCTTTTAGAAAATCAATAGTTCCAATATTAAATTTTAGATGTTGTTCTAAGCTTTGAATCAATTATTTATTATTCATTATTACTTATTTATTCTCAGAATTATTCCAAATAAGAATCGTTAGAAAATCATAGATTGAATGTAAAAGTTTCCAATAGATAGTTGGATAATCTATATTAAATTTTTATATAAAGTTTAATAAAGGCACGTGAATTTGTTCAGCCATCAAAATTGCTTAATGGAGCTTATAATTTTATTCTCTTTCGCAAAATGCAATTGTGGAATTGTTATCTGGTTTATAATCTTCAAAATTTAATGGATTTAAAGACCTTCCTTTATCAAAGTCTTTCTTTAAATACAATCCTAATTGAAATAGATTTTATATTAAACCAGCCTTCTAGTGCTCATTTGAATGATACCAAATCAAACTTGTTCTTATATTATTACTTGTTTCTTTATACATTGTGTAAAATTCATACTAATATAAAATATCTAATTTCTTCATGATTTATTTTGTTAACTAACTTAATTCTAAAGTTTTTCCAGAAACAACTATTATAACCTTTTCAAAATTTTAAATTAATTCTTTTCTTTAGCCATATGCTCTTGATAAAATTTCTAAGGAATATTTTGGTAGATATAGATTTTCATAAAATGATAATTCTGCAAATATTAATTCAAAATTCTCAAAGTTAGATAACGATCTCTCTGTGACTATTTATCGAAATTAATTAATCCAATTAGTGATATCATATAAGCTTTTTTCTTCAGAAACAATTTAATTCTTGAATTTTTATTATATTACTTGTAGGATTGCTTAGTTATTTTTTGGCAATTTATCAAGAATATTACTTTGCTTAGCATTCTATGGATTGTTATTAATATTAGCTAAATTAGGATCAACTAATTCTAATTATAATAGTTATTCTTTAAAAGATTTAGAGCACATAAACACTCTAATATTATTTTCTAAATCAAATATTGTATTTATAATTTCGCAAGCTAGTTGTTTGCATGTCATAAATATATTATTTGTCTCATTTAATCTGGTAGATTTTATTTTTTTATGTATATGAGTTTCTTTCTCCTCTGTTAGATAAATTTTACTTAAATGAATACTATTATTTGAGCTAGATTAAGGATTTGGAGTTTCAATTTAATCTCTATTCATATTAAAATTCTTAATGCTTGAACAAATATTATACATAGCAGTTAATATTACTTTTATCTAATCCATATCAACCCAAAACTGCATTTCGATTGAACATTTAAGTAATTGCAACACCGATTATAAATTTTTTGAGTATTCAATATTATTATGTAATAGATCTATTTTTTCTAATTATTATAATAGAAAACCCATTACATCTAGTAATGGACTTGTTTTTGGTAACATAGTAGAATGATCTATAAAATTCCCATGTAAATCTTTAAATTAGATTACTCTTAATTTTTTAAATTTTTAAAAAGGCGGAGTATCTATATAGGCATATCTTATTAATTTTAAGAAAGGTTTCATCAAGTTGAACATATGAAAAGATTGAGCTTCATGTAATATCTTACAGAATATTTCTAAAGAATAATTCTCATCAATAAACTCTTTGGCTTATAAAAATCTATTCATAGCTACATCTCCTAATAAATCAAAATAGCTAATAAAATAATTCCAATATTCTAAATTATCATTCATTACACTTGATTTGTAGAATTGCTCTAAATTTTGCCACCTTGAATAAGTTAATTATTCAGCAGATTAAATGAATATATGACCTTATTTAATCTTAAATGCAAATTTAAAATCTAAATTAAAAAATAAAATAACATACTTGGTGGGGCTACTTTAAAAAAGTTTTCAAGTACTAATCTTTAATTTTCTCTTATAGCTTAATTACTTGAAACACAGATAGCATTTAGAATCTTTAGATATTTATCATGAGGTGACTATTACATAATTAACTCTATAAGTTTTTTGATTATATTTTCAGTTAAGAATTTTTAAATTGCTTCCCTATTATTATCTAACATTTCAGATATAAAAGATTGAATAGCAGGTTAGCTTAAACTCATATATTGATGTAAGAACATCTCAAGCCATTATGAAACATAAAGCTTTGTTACAATATTATTTTAGATTAATTTAGTCATGAGTTAATAAGCTGATTAAAAAATCATTTGGATTTGCTCTTTTTATTTTCTCCAAATTTATAATTTTTTAGTTCCTTTTTTATAACATAAATAGTAAAGCAATTCTACCAATATTTCAGTAAAATAGAGCTCTTTAAGTATTATTTATCTTTCAAAAATAGGTAAATCATCTAAATTTTCATCACTAATATCAATTTTATCCATAAGATATTCATGTAAGCGATTCAATAAAAATTAAATTTCATACATTCTTTCTGGAGAAATAACATAAGAAAAATTTAAAGGGTTTTATTAAAGTTAATAAACAAAGTTTAGCATTAAATCATAGGCTGAAAATGGCTATAAGACTAATTTAAAAAATGATTATTTGACTCTGTGAATAATAAATGGTTTACCAAACGCTCTATCTCGAAAACCACATTTAACAGTGCTTTGCTCTTAATTAAGTTATTTATAAAACCCTTCAGTTCCTTGTATTTTTTCTGATTTTTTAATTCTTACATCACTTGATGTTTTCATTGATTATTTTGTTGTTATAGATGCTAAAACGTTATCATCTCTTACTAAATTAACATAAGATGAATCAATAAATTCTCTTTCATACCTATTGGCTAATTGTAAACCAATAGTGCACGAATCATCAGATAAAATTGCAGGAAAACAATCATCAGCATCAAATAAGTCTTAACAAAATAATAATTTACCGGTTATAACATGTCTTAATCTTAACTATTTGGATAGATTTTTTTTAAATTTTTACTAATTATTAAATTATTAATTCTATTCTGTAGCATTTTTTTAATTATACTATTAATTCATTTGATTTCCAGGAAACAATACATTGTTTTATCCTAAAAATGAATGACGTATTTAGGCCAAAGTTCTAGGTTACAATGTAATTGTTGGAAATTCACTTATAATCTTATCTTAAAATTACAACTCCCATAGACATTCAACAGGAATTTATTGATTGTGTAAGGTTGGTTTAAGAACAATTTAATTATTTTATAAGTCTGCTCCTAAATATGTCTCAGTTTTAGGACATTTAAAAGTAACAACTTCATTGGTTTTTAATTTTAATTTGTTAAGTTGATGTTTTTCATAATTATCATATAATTATATTTTCCATTCGCTATCAGAATAATGACTAACAATTAATTCATATCTATGAGAATCTTCTTATAATGCTTTCAATTACACTTTCAAACCAGCTTAAGTTGATTTATGATCTAATTGAACTGGCTATCTCATATTTTTATCAATCCAAAATTTATTTATATCTGATTAGATTTTTACAGACTGTTTAGAAATTATGGGCCTTCCTGTTTATTAATAACTTTTGCTAGGCTCCATTTTAAAAATGATTCTGCTTGATAAAAATTACTGAAGTCTAAGACCAAAACTATCACTTCTTGAATCACTACATTCTTCAGAACAGGCCAAATACTATCCGGATTCTACATGCTAAAATATTACTTCTGAACTAAATAAATTATATTTTTTAAATCAATACCTGAAATAAACTTCCTCATTCATTTTATTATCAATCATATTGAAATATTACTCTTTTTCGGATTTCATCCTTTATTATAAACTTGGTGATTTATCCCTAAATAAATTTAAAACACTCTGCTTACATTCCTTTCAAATATTCATCATGAATTTCAAAACTTCCTCTCGGCAATATTTGAAATATTCCATCCCTAAAATTATTGATATCATCCATATCTTCATAAGTTTAGAAGTAAACAGCATGATCGAAAAAACTAAGAGATCAATATTTTGATGGTGTTACCCTTTGGAAGTTATAATACCTTTAGTTGCGTTGTTTCCTTTTCCACCAATTCTTATAAAAGACCCATAACGTAGATTTTATGTAAAATTCATATTTTGACTCATCTTTTTTTAGAATATAAATTAAAATATTTTCAGAAAATTTTAAAAAATATTATTCATATTTACTCTTAACTATTTATCTGATAATAAAATCAGCTTATTATATTTTTCATATTTTTATTGCAAAAATCTTGCTTGCTATCATATAAACAAAGTCTATAAAAAACAAAAATTTTAGAAAAAAACTCAGTTTAAATTACTCTTATTAAAATCAAAAAATAAATATATCGATAAACTTATATTAATATTTTTATTTTTAGAGCTTTGAGTTGAAAATTATTTCGATAAGATCAGACGAATTATGTTAATTACATTTTTTTTTTCTTTTCATTTTTTTAAAACAATAAAGTATAACTTATTATTTTTAAGTAAATCATTTTTAAGCTTAATATTGTTCTTCAAATTTAAAATATTTTCAAAAAATCATTAAGATTCTTAATATTAACGTTAAAGAACATTGCAAGTGTTACTCTAAATTTTTCCTTAAATATTGAGCTTGTATTCTTTATATTATAATTCACTCCAAGAATACTTAATTGCTCAGTAATAATAAAAAAATTAGAGTTTTTTTGGATGTCCAAACTAAATGTTTATGAAAAACAAGATAGTAATTTATCAAGGAATTCATTCGTTCGATAAAATACAACTAAAAATCTAAACGGATAGAAATCTTTATTTTCAAAATTATCCAATACATTGTTTAAAGCTTAAGAAGATGGTAAATAATTGTGAATTTTTAGAAATATAATTTTAAACCAAAGGGTAGGAACATTGTACGAAAATTATTATGTATTTGCTTCTTAATTTTGATGGAATGGAATAATATTTGAAAAAATAATCAGTTCTTGCTCCTCTTAATTCATACTCTCCAATTACCAAACCAGTTGATGATATACGTTTAATTAGAACGTAAAATATATATATATGCAAGTGAACTGATGTATTATTTCCAAATAATTTCTGTCAGAGATTTTCATGACTTTTATGTTGATTTTTATGCTACTTTTGATAAAAATAAAAATTTTTCTTTAGAACCAACAGAATTTAAGTAATTATTGGACATCGCTGTAAACAAATGCGTTGGTCCAAAAAAATTTAAAGTTGTAACAGATATTGTCCTTAATGATCCTTCATCATATGATAATCAGTTAGACGATAAAATTATCAATGAAATGATAGATTATTTTAGAGATTTAGAAAAAGAATCGAAAATCGATTATTTACTATTGTTTCCTTTTATTTTAGCTTTTTTTTTAGAATTTACTTATTCATAAATAAAATATAGGTAAGGAAGATTAGATTTGATGAGGGGCACTGAGGTTATTAAAGGAAAAGAAGTCGAAATTAAGAATATCACTAGTTTAGTAACAATTCTTAAAGAGATGGGCATAGATTATATAAGAGATAAAAGAACAACATGCCTTTCTTATAGGGATGTTGAGAATGTTTTAATAAAATTAAAAAACATATAAAAATGGATAACATTTGATATAATCAAGTAAATAATTAATCAGCTGGCAAAGTTGATGGAAGTTGATCCAAAAACTTAGAATGAAGGCAGGCCTTTGAAATTGTATAAAATCGTAAACTTTTTAGCTTTAAAATTATGCATTCATTAGAATTGCTTGAATATTAGTAAACAAGATAAAAATAAATCAAAACCCCCATCAGTTTATTTAGAAATTTTAGTATTGTGGAACTCAGCCATGTTTGGACATATCATGAAGGAAGCTACAATCAAATAATAATTTTCTAAGTTTCTACATAAGCATTATAAAGATTAAACTTAATTTTCTAGACCAGAAGCAGTTAAATTATTGGAAACATTCTTTAAAAAAAAATTTTAATTAATGCCAAAAGATTTAATAAAAGTGATTTTAGAGTAACATTCTGAAATGTAAAGTAAGAAAATAATTACTACTGAAAGCCTGGCTAATGAATTATTCAATATGATGTGCAAAGATGGTTATCGAAAATTATAAGAATACATTAGAATAAGTTATGATGGAGTTAATAAATTGAATGGAGATAGAATTAACTAGTATTAGAGATAAGGAAAAGATTTTCAGGAGGATTCTTAAATTAATTCACCTCCATCAAGCGAGAAACAGTAATTTGATGAAAAATCGAAAAAATCTTAAGTTTCTAGTAAACATAATCAAAAAATTGAGAGAAATGAATCAGAATCAGAGGAAAGTGATCGTGATAGAGAATTGACAACTAAAAGTAAAATCAAGAGGATTGTCAAAGTAATCAGTTCCGAATAGGCATTTGCTTAGAAGGCTGAATCAAAGAAAGATGTTCTCAAAGCTTGCTTAATTATGGATAGCTTTTTAAAAAGATAAAGTCAAATTCATTAAAAAATGTAATAAAGCAAATATAACTAATTGGATGATACACATATAGTAACGAATGAAAATCAAGAGATTGAATAAGAAACTACTAATAATTAAAAAATTGATGAGGTCTCTTCAGAAAAAAAGAAAATTGTAAAATAAATTAAATTAGAAGAATCTAAAAAGCTAACCGAAATTGAAATGATAATTCCAGAATAAGAAAAAGATGCTGAAGAAAAAAAAGAAAAACAAATATTTATTTAATAAAGACCTCAAATTGTTATTAAGGATATAAAAAAAAATTAATAATCGTAATCAAATGATCTGTTTACTGTTGCTGGAAAAGATGGTAAAAACTATGGACCTTCAAATTTTAAAAATGCATATTACGCAAATATGCCTGTTGTTTAAGATGCATCTAAAATTATGTTTTTAGCTACATAATCGAAATAATCTTTATTTTAATTAACTGATGATGTATAATCGTTAAATATTTTAGGACTTTAAAGATGATGATGGTAAATTTTAAGTTGTCATTGATGATGTGCAATTACAAACATAAATTTAATATTAGTAGAATTTAGCCAAAGCTAAGAAGCCTAAAGATAGATCCTCCACATGCTATTATTGCTATATACAATGAGTAAATTCATAACAATTTGCTAATTTTTTAACTAAAATAATTCTAGAATATTAAATTATATATCAGTAAATTATTAATTTGTGAAAACTTCCATACAAACTATCTTAAACAAACAACAATATTTTAAATTTTTAATGAAATTTAAATTACTAATTAATTTATTTATATTAGAGAATGATCAGTTAGAACTATAATTTTATTGGATAAAGATAATTAACAATTTCGATGAAAATTTCATATTAGTTTTTCTTTCCCAAACTTATAAAGGTGGGTCAAGCTTTATAATTTTGAATATAAGGCAAATAATGCGATTCCAGTTTTCTTATGAATTTAAGGGAAATAATGAGATTTAGAGGAATCTTGTTTGTCTGCTTTGAAATAATAAAACCAGTCCCTAATATTCCAATTATAGGACTGACGGCTTTTACCAGTTATGAAGATGTTGATAAATTGTAAAGAAGCTGGAATATTAAATATTTTACATAAACATTATAGATCTCGAAATTTTAATATATATTAAATGAACTTCGTATTATTGATTTATATAAATATTAATAATGATTACAAGAAATCTGTTTAAGAAAATTTATCCGTTTAAATTCGGATTTTCCACTTCCTATGCTGAAATAATTGCTTCAAGTAAGGCTAATAGAGTTTAAGATGTGGGTAGTTTGAAAGAATTATTGGCTTCAATTTATTAAACGAAACCTTATTTATATTGCATTATATTTAACTAAGTTGGACATCCATAGTATATATTGTATTAACATAGCTATTCATCAGTTAATGAAATGTATAATTAAATTTCAAATCAATTTGTTGGTTACAAATTTTATAGGATTAATGTTGATAATCTAGATAAGACAGCTTAATACTTTGGAATTAAAGTAAACATATTCATAAATCATATAGAATCCTCCCATTTCACTAATATATGGTCAAGGCTCCCCATTAGCTAAGCATATTGGTTTAGGAAGAAAAAATCTATAAATTAAATTAGAGGCATCATAAAATCTAATCCATAATACTGATTTCATACCAGGAACAGAATAATGGGAAGGTCCATAAGATTTATGGAAAGCTAATTATGAAGATGAATAAGAGCCATTTGATTATTTTGCCCGTTGATTCATTAGATCATGCATAAAATAATAATTATTACCTTCTTTATTTTTTGTATATCAATAGAACCCATTGAATTCATCCTTTATTGCATTATCCCATCAATTTATGAATCTAAACTTTTGTGATTTATCATCAGGCACTGTTAGTATAAGGGTAGTATTCAAGGTTGCCATCCTTGTGACACGAGTTCGAGTCTCGTACAGTGCAATTTTTTTATTTTTATAAATTATTGTTATACTATTAATATAATTTCACAATATTCTTTGGGTAGCTACATATTATATGCATTTTAAAAACAATGGCTAAAATTTTTACTTTTCTTAGGTGAGAATTTCAGATACTATGTTTTCATATCTTCTCTTAATAAACCTAAAAATGAGGGATGCATTAATGTTATTTTTAGATCCCTATTATAGGTATACTGAATATGCTATCAGGTTTAAGTAAACGATAGTTATTGAGCAATTGCTAAAATCGTTAGGGGTTAGATACTAAATTAAATTGAAGATGCATCCTAAAATTAGTTTAGTTATTGGATATTAGTTAAATATAAAAAAGACAAATTAAATAAACAATAAATTTTAATAAATTAGGTGATACTTACGCATACTAAAATCTGTAATTTTAATCATTAATTAGAAAGAAATCAAAATCATTAAATGTTAAGGATTCTTTCTAACTAAAATATATTAATGAAAATTACTTCACATTAGCATAAACAATACTTATAGCTATAAATTATCAATAATATATGAAACAAAAGACATATGGTTTTTTTTTGTATGGATGTGTATCTATGCAAAATGATTCTAAAAGTTTAGAAGTTAATCAATGTTGGTATATTAATTGATTAATTGTAGAGATTGTAGAAATAAATATAACTAACAATTATAAGAGTAGAGTAAAAATGTTAAGAATAATAATAAAATAATTTTATTCAGTTATTTTAAGTGGGTTTGAAAAAAAATATCGTTTTTGTTTAAGTGATTAATAAATAAATGAAATTGGTATTAGGTTTGACCATCCTATTGGCATTAGGCAGTTGTGCTTCTTTCTTGGAAGAACAACAACCAATGGAAAATAAAATATATAAGATTAAGTTGGATAGAACAGAATCATAGGCAAGAAAATCATTATTTGATTTTATTACAACAAGTTAATAATACAGAAAGAGTTCAGACTTGTTGGGAGAATCAGATATTGAGATGACATAGACAAAATAAAAGGAATCAATAAAATTATACAACTTTAAGAATACTTAATATACAGGAGAGATTGGATTAGGTGGTTAGGATAACAAATTCAAGGTATAAGTATAATTTATGTTAGGTTATCTTTGATACAGGATCTGCTAATATTTGGTTAAATTCAGCAAGATGTAATGATTATGGATGTAAAAATCATAAGCAATATGATGGTTCAAAGAGTTCAACTTATGAACATTTAGGTTATGATTTAGATGTAGAATTCGGAACAGGAGAATTGATGGGAGAAGTATATAAAAATAGCATAAATTATTAGATTAATGCTGATACTGCATATGTTGGTGGAGTAAAGATTGCTAAATAAGAATTTGCAGAAATAGTAAGAGAGAATGGTGATGTATTTGCATAATCAGATTTTGATGGTATTGTTGGATTAGCATATCCAACAATGGCTGCTTATAATTTCAACCCATTATTTGATAACATTATGCAATAGAAATTATTAGACAGAAACGTGTTTTCTTTCTATTTTTCAAGATAAGAAGGTTCTAGATCATCTGAGTTAACATTGGGTGGTTGGGATAATGATCATTTCACTGGAGATTTACATTTCCATAATGTTGTTAATAAATATTATTGGTTATTGGATGCTGATAATATTTTAGTCAATGATAAAGATGTAGGACTTTGTAAACATGGATGTAAAGTAGTTGCTGATACTGGTACTTCATTATTAACTGGTCCATCAGAAGCTTTATATGATTTACTTGGTATTCCTTTATTTTAATTTTAGATACCTTGAACATTGATGAAAACTGTAGTAACGTTAAGGAATTACCAAAATTAACATTTGTTTTAGATGGTATTAAATATGATTTGGATGCTAATGATTATGTGATGAAAATAGATTCTTAAGGAAATGAAGTATATATAATATTCATTAATTTAGGTTGCTTATGATACCTTTGCTAGTACTGATAGTTTTGTAGAAATGGGAGCAAATTGCCAATGTGTTGGATCATTTATGCCTTTAGATATTCCATCACCTTAAGGACCAGCCTGGATTTTAGGTGATACTTTCCTTAGCAAATTTTATTCTGTCTACGATAGAGATAATGATAGAGTTGGTTTTGCTAGATCAAAATGATTCATANAATAAAATTATACAACTTTAAGAATACATAATATACAGGAGAGATTGGATTAGGTGGTTAAGATAACAAATTTAAGGTATAAGTATAATTTATGTTAGGTTATTTTTGATACAGGATCTGCTAATATTTGGTTAAATTCAGCAAGATGTAATGATTATGGATGTAAAAATCATAAGCAATATGATGGTTCAAAGAGTTCAACTTATGAACATTTAGGTTATGATTTAGATGTAGAATTCGGAACAGGAGAATTGATGGGAGAAGTATATAAAAATAGCATAAATTATTAGATTAATGCTGATACTGCATATGTTGGTGGAGTAAAGATTGCTAAATAAGAATTTGCAGAAATAGTAAGAGAGAATGGTGATGTATTTGCATAATCAGATTTTGATGGTATTGTTGGATTAGCATATCCAACAATGGCTGCTTATAATTTCAACCCATTATTTGATAACATTATGCAATAGAAATTATTAGACAGAAATGTGTTTTCTTTCTATTTTTCAAGATAAGAAGGTTCTAGATCATCTGAGTTAACATTGGGTGGTTGGGATAATGATCATTTCACTGGAGATTTACATTTCCATAATGTTGTTAATAAATATTATTGGTTATTGGATGCTGATAATATTTTAGTCAATGATAAAGATGTAGGACTTTGTAAACATGGATGTAAAGTAGTTGCTGATACTGGTACTTCATTATTAACTGGTCCATCAGAAGCTTTATATGATTTACTTGGTATTCCTTTATTTTAATTTTAGATACCTTGAACATTGATGAAAACTGTAGTAACGTTAAGGAATTACCAAAATTAACATTTGTTTTAGATGGTATTAAATATGATTTGGATGCTAATGATTATGTGATGAAAATAGATTCTTAAGGAAATGAAGTATATATAATATTCATTAATTTAGGTTGCTTATGATACCTTTGCTAGTACTGATAGTTTTGTAGAAATGGGAGCAAATTGCCAATGTGTTGGATCATTTATGCCTTTAGATATTCCATCACCTTAAGGACCAGCCTGGATTTTAGGTGATACTTTCCTTAGCAAATTTTATTCTGTCTACGATAGAGATAATGATAGAGTTGGTTTTGCTAGATCAAAATGATTCATA